GTATCAGGGATAGAGGGCAACTGTTTGAATACTTTCATTCATTGGTTGTGGATGCCTCTCAGGATCTGTTGTGTTGCCTCTGTGTGCAGACGAATTTCTTTGATACTCTGTCTGAATTGTAGGAGAATACTCGACATAGGATCGCAAAAATTTGACCCCTTTATGCCTGAGTATTTCTGACAGCAGTGTCAACAGTCTTCATTGTGCTTCTATTTTTTTGTTGGTGGATCACATTTTGCAAGAATGAGCATAATTACCAGGTATCCAACACTGTATTCTTCTAAAGGCCCCATGACATAAATATATATGGCTATGCCTCCGCTGCAACTTTTGAAAGTGCATGGACATGGGACTCTGTATGACAGATCCATAGCTGAGGTATGTATAACTTTACCCATGAAAGGGTTTAGTAGAATGCTGTGACTGTCTTTCTTTTCTTTTTTATACTGAAATCTCCTCTAAATAATAAAAAAAATGCAAAGAAACATGCATTGAAGCGATAATGCACATGTAAGAGACCTCAGTCAATGCACTTGTATTTCCATTATTGAATTGTCTGACCCAACTTTGGATTCAACATGAAATTCAAATTTAATTTGTGCAATTCCAATGATGTGCATGCAAATAGTATTTACATCATGAAACATTTGCATATCTTCCATTTTGAATAATGTACGATTTGTTAAGTCCTACACAATACTACACCTTTTTTTTTCCTTTGGGGTACAAATATAATTGGGCCTGTGATAAAAATGGTGTCTTTCCCATGTCTAATACATTTTAAAGATGAGGATGGCCCTTTTTGGATTCTTGGTATCAACTTGTACTCATTTGGCCTGCATGATTTTGTCTCCAATGTGACAATCTCTCCGTACCAATCCTAAGAATGTTCTCTGTTGAGTATATTTTCACTTTGTCCCTAACTTTTGACCCAGGTGGAAGAGCGTTTCGGTCGGGGGTGTGAGTGTCAGGAAGAGAATTGCTTCCGGGGTCTGAACGCCGATTTCGTGTACCGGCACCGGCTGAACATAGCCGAACTGTCCAAGGCGGAGCACGACATGTACCTGATGGGTGTGACCATGGCCTGTCTCCAGAATCCCGAGGAGACCGTGAGGCACAAGGAGCGCAAGCGCTTGCGCGCCCAGTACGTCTTTCACGGCAAGAAGGTCTGCCTCGATGCCTTCCTCTACCTTGAAAACACAACTCATTATCAGGTAGATTCTCCTGCCCTCCTTATTTCCTGCAAATTCTGATTTCTGTTTACCTCTTATTGGGTCTCTATGAGAGGAGTGTTTTCTCTTGCCCAGTCTCTAAACCTTCAGTGCAACTGCATATACTTTTATACTTTCTTTTTCATTTTTATTTTACCAGAAAATGAATTTTTTGTGCCAACATTAAATCATACATGGAGGTGGTTTTGGAGGAGGTATGCATTATGGTTCCAACTGATGCGATTAAAATTTTTCATGAATCCATGAGTCAAAATTATGAATAATTTCCTTAATGAGATTGTAATTTACCTCCCTGGCATAGTTTATGGAGAAAGGTCTTTTCTTATTTGAGAACCTCCAGCCATTCCTTACCAAAGTGGGCATTCCAAATGCGGCTATATGTTGGTGTTGCCTAATCATCATAACATATCATCAGTACGTTATTGGTGCAATCCTAATGAAATATGAGGTAAAACAATAAAAAGTATAGAATCCATCACAAACTCTTACCATTGTGTATACACATACACTCTGATGACACTAGTGCAGTTTTGAGAAATAAAAAAGGTGTTGTGAAAAACACCATGCAGAAAAGTCCATCTGTGTGGGAAAGGGAAGATATTCGCATACTTATACGTAACCAAGAGATCGGCATAGTAAGAGATGTCCCGGCTTTCTGGAGGCTGGAAATTTTTTACAAATATATTGGGTCAGGAAAAAGTATATTGGAAGGAGTATAAGGTGACTCCTCCCCTCCAAACTTACATCCAGTCACATCCATTTTGAGGCTTACATCCCCCCCCTTGCCCTACCCCCACCACTGCGGCACCATGCTTCCCCTTCGTGTTCCTCTTCCTCTTTAAGGGATAGTCTTTTCCAAGACTCACTTGTATCACACTCTTAGGTGAAGAGGATTCGGAAACACGTGATGACCCACGGGGTGACGGCTCGCGTCCACGGGAACCACGGCAAGAAGCCGCACAACACGTTCTCCCTCGACAGTTACCAGCATGCCACGGCCTTCCTGCAGACTTACATCCAGCGCCATCTCCCACCTGGCAGAGCTCCAGTCACACCCAAGTCCAAGCTCAAGGGCAAGCTCTCCCCGATCTACCTGCCGTCTGACATCACCCGGAAGAAGATCCACGCCGCGTACAAGGAGTACTGCGAACACTTTGAGCCTGCGGTGAAGGTCATGGGCTACTCCACGTTCCGCTACTTCATGAAAGACCAGTTCCCCCACGTCAGATTTCTCCGACTGGAACCGACCGCGAAGCGAGACGTCGATCCCGGCGGCAAGGCGAAACAGAATAGCAACGACGTCAAAGCGGATTCGAATCCCATCGACGCGTCGGTTCCGTCGGACCCGGTCGGAACGAATTCCTTCGTCGCGCAGACCAACTACGTCATGGCGGCGGTGACGGCGCCGGCCGTCACCCAGAACGTGGCGTCCTTGACCCCCGCGACGAACGTCGCCCCGACGCTCTACACGTACACCGCGACGCCGTTGACGGGACACACGTACGTGTTGACGCCCGTCCCGCCTGCCGCGGCTGCACCTCTTCACCCGCCCCCTCCCTATTCTTCGTGTCAGATCCCCGAGCAGACGGATCCGATTCTGGAACACCTACCTCCGATGCGCACCACTCCTCCTCTGCGACCTCCCACTCCTCCGACCAGGACCCAGGATGCCCAGACGTGGATGTGACTCGTTCCCGTTCGTTCTCCTGGAACGACGGCCTCTGATGTACCACCCTCTCTATGCAACCGTATTCTCCATCAGCAACTGCCCAAGTGATCCAAGTCTGAACGGAAGGCACTGTTCAAGCAGCCCATTTGTTCTGGGCCCTTTATTCTTATTTGCATCTCCTCTTCCTCCACAACCATCCACTCAGGACCCAGGATACCCACAAATGCAATCCAATTTGACTGTGTTTTTTTTTATTCATTTGACTGCATGCAACTTTGACGTTTTATGAAGAAATGAAAAGGTATTCGTACGATTTTAATCCTAGTGCCGGTTTCCGATTCTCTTCTCTTGGGCATCATGGTGCCATCTTGGAATTTCATGTGACTGTGAACCTCATAAAATTTCTTGTGGCCTTTCTTTGTTACATGTTACCCCTATTTCATGAGTTCCTGAGAGGCTGCAACTCTTGATAGTATGAAGATATGGTAACGTAAAGTTAGGAAAGTCAGGGGATCGTAAGTTGAGCGGCAAAAGAAAAACAGATTTGTCAGAATTTCCAGAGTGTCAGTGAAATGCGCCAAGAAATAATTCATTTTTTTGCACAAGACACTAATTTGTTTCCTTTCAGTCAAGTAGTCCTCCTCAAAAGAGGAAAATCTAAAAGGAATTGTGACACGGAAGTCAAGTCGGTAAGGGGCAGTCGTTAAAAATGATAAAAACTCTCAGAACCAAGTTCTGAGAGTTATAGTGAGCATCTACATTTGTTGCCACATTTGAGTCGAATGTAGTGAATGTATTTATCTTCCTTGCCGAATGCTATTTGGCGAAGAATGCAGAGGAAGCAACCGAATATGCAATTTTTTTCAGAAAATCAATTTTTAGTGGACCGGAAATGGTGAGAATTGATTCGTGGCGCAACCCTGAAAGAAGAATGGCATATCAGCTGTTAGGTGTACCACCATCCTCGATTTCACCAGAGCATGCCACCATCGAGAGCAGTGGCGTAGCGAAGGGGCAAGTTTGGTTCAAGTCCCCCCAACTCTGGTCAAAATGCATTCGCCCCCCCGTTCACCGAGCGAGGAGAAGTAGGGGAATTTTTTAGCTCCCCCCCCCCCCCCTCCATTGGCAAAATCCTGACTACGCCACCGGTCGAGAGGTGTAAGACGAATGCCAAATTTTGGTGAGGTGAAAATGAACTCGTTTCAGGAAGGGGGTCGGCTACCTCATGTGACGTACTTCCGCCCGGTCTTAACGTCCGAAAGGGTAGGAAGCTCGGGCCGACCGCCCAGAGACGATCCTCGACGGACTGGAACGGATCGAACGAACTGCAATCGCGTACGCCTTCCGCCTCCCCGCTCGCTTTTCCAACTCTTTTATGGGGTGATTCGAAGCGAACGCTCCGCCGTTTTCTACGGGAGACGGTGAGAATCGAATATAGGAGGAAAAACGATACGATCCACAGACCCTCGACGTCGGACGCACGAGGTGTCGAGAAGATTGGCTTTTTTTCTCGGAACGATTCGTCGAGCCGTGCAAAAACCGTCCCGTGACAGAGTTTACCGGTGGATCGTTAAGCCTCGGATGCAGTAACGGTCGACGTGCCATCGTCTCGAAATTCGAAAGGAGTCGTTAGCCCCGTTCGGGCCTCGAACCGATTTCGACTTCCTTCGTATTTTTTACATCGGCTTCGAGACCGAATCTTTTTGGAAGGGCTCTCGGATGCAAATGATTTTTTTTTTTTTTTGGCAGAGAGGCTCGCGTGAAGTCGAAAGGCTCAAGAGATGAACCTTACGGGTCTCGTTTTCCAGCCGAACGAGTCTCTCGGCACCGAGATGGGGGGCCCTCGGGTCCTGCGGGTGTGAAGAAACCTCTCCGCTCGGCATCCGACCGTCCCTTCGAGAGTCGAAACCGGTGGAAACGAGGTGGCGACGCGACGACCGCGCGTGAGGGAATTTAGCATCGGGAGGTCGGGGGCCGTCGAGCGCCCCCGTCTGCTTCCCCGGAGCGATTCGGGAGCGCTTCGTTTCGAGATCGCGAGACGCGAGCGGAAGACGGACGACGACGAGATCCCTCTCGGTCGATCGTTCGAAGCGGATCGAATGGGAGCGTTTCGAGTGCGAGGCGAGCCTCGCCGTCGCGATGCGGCGAGGATCCTCGACGTCGTCGTCTCGCCTCGCGAGATCGAGGGGCAGATCGGAGGGGCGATGCGGTAAGGTATTTAGGATACTACCGAATCGCAGTCAGCATCATCGCTTGTCGATGACATTTCTGCACCGACGTGAGAAATTCTTTCAGCGTTCGAGACGAAGCATTTAGCTCTGACAACTCTAGACGATGAGAAAATCTTTGTGATCGGTTGGAAGGGACTTGTTGGAGTATAGGCAAATGGATCGTAGTCGTCAGCCATGGCGTCCATCCTTGGCGCTCGTCGAATCGGCCTTTTTATCCTTTTCCGTACGTTAAGTTTCGAAAAGGGTCCGTGAAGATATGGAAATCGCACTTCGAGTTTCGCTTTTCGTACGTTAGCAATGAGGATTTGTTCAAATTGTTTTGAAAACGGAAGTGTGGTTTTGAGAAACGGACGTTAGCAATTGGGAAAAACTGTAATTGACTCCGCTTCGAATCTGATTGACGTTGATTTTTTTTCTTTCCATACATGGACTGAATTGAAATTCCATTCCCCCCGGGTGTCTTGATAATTCTCTTTCTCCCTAGGAGTAAACAAAATGATGGAAGCATTGGCAGCTAATCCGGGTGATTTGGAATCCCCCTAGGGAGGTGACACAATGCAGGTTTTCGAGAGGATTCCGCTAAACCCGCGTGTTTAGTGGAATCCTGTCTCTCCCTAGGTAGATTCGGAATCCCCCTGAATTCCACAAAACCCTACGACATTGTAGCGCCCGCCATGACTTATCGCGAACGTGCTGCATCGAGGGGGTGAGCTAAATCGTTTCTTGTTTATAGAAGGGTTAAATATTCTTTCATTTTTTGTTCATTCGCCTTTAAAGCGAAAGCTGTCAATCGCGAAGCTGTACCGAGAAGGATCTTGTACAGTCTCATTTTGGATACTTTTGTCGATGAAAGCCTCGATTAGAATAAACGAAATCCTGTATGAAACCCAGTCTGTTGGAATCATCGTCTAACGGCCACTGATTCCGTCCGACCGATACGAACCATCCCCAAGGGACAATTTCTAATATCCTTTTTTATTTTTAATTTCTTGTTTCGCGACGGTCAAGGTAGTTTGCGGGTAGCTATTAAAGTACAGCGACGTACGAGTGATACTACTGGCCACGCCGGACGACCGCGAGCGATACAACATTTTTCTCCCTCGTTCTTGTCATTCTGATGTTTGTTGTAGAGATCCCGGTAGGGGAACTCTGCAGAGATTCTTCGGAATCAGATTGCGTGAATCACGCCGCCTGCGTCGGAAATCAATGGAGAACCTGCCAGTGCCAAGACGATGACGACGTCGTCTTCGTCGTGGAACGCGGACGGTGAGGTGAGTCATCCACAAATATTCGCGGCTGATCGTCGACCGAGAAATGCGACGCGAGTTGACAACGTTTAGAGGGTAGATCTCGTACGATAGGCTCTAAGTTCTGGTATTTCCCGAAAACTCTCTCGTGTGAAACGATCAACGCCGTCATAATTGACTGACAACCGGAGAGATTCTCGGTCGACCTCATGCCCTTCCTAAAATACTGAGAAACTCGAGCTGCAGTGTGGGAAGGAAATCGGAATGTGGAGTCGGAAGTTTGTATTTCGGTCAACAGCGAACAGGGCATTTCGTGCGCTAATTCTCAGGCAGCACAACACGTTGGACTCGCGTTGGCTGGGCGCGAGAGAACACGGGCAGACATAGCAGTTGCCTGCCCATGTAGGCCACACGTCGGTGTGCCAGCCAACATTTTTCCTACCTGCGGGCGAGCGATATATCTGAATCAATCGAGCAAACGAGGTTTCCCTGAGAGAAGCAAAATATCAGTGGTATTAGGGAGTGACTTGATACCATTTCCCACTTGTTCTCGTGCGGCACCGGACCTTTCCCCTACAGGCAACGCAAAACTGATACTAGAATTCCCTAATGTGTTCGGTTAAGCATGTCAATCAAAGGAATCCAGGGATAATTCTGGGAATCGTGGAGTATTTATGCTTCCCGACTCGATGGGATGAAGATCACTTCGAAGGATTCCCGATGATTGTGGAGGCAGTCATCGCTTCAGGTCGTGCAGATCCAGGTACGATGATAAGGGATCACCCAAGGGAGCTCGGTTAGGATGCACTGAAAGAGCGAAATAGGAAGCTCCATGAGTGTTTTCCGATCCCGAGAGGGAAGAATGCATCAGAGGCAGACACTCGAGGCAGGGAGTACTTCCTGGCCAGGAGTGACTCAGAGGCAAGGTGGGGGAGCAAACAATGTTGTGCAAATATTAGGTGTCCCAAAACGATTTCACACGATGAAGAAAAAAAGTATTGAAGTTATTATAAACAAACTTAATTTAGCACCAACATGTATGGAAATGGGCGTTTACCCTACGAGAAGATGTGTGAATTCTCCAGATGGTGCCCACCGACCTCGTAACACCACAAGATATGACGTGGCATGTGTCCGAAAGCGCGGTGGTCAAAAGCCATTTCCGAAATGTTTTTTTTTTTAATGTAACGTCGTTTTGGGACACCGGGAACACGAGATTCCTCCAAGCCTCTTCTAATCGTCTGACATGCAGTGCATCAGCGCTCAATGCTTTCAATGTTTACTTTCAACATTGGCTCAAGTGGGACTGCTGAACTGGTCCATGTACGGCTGTATGTAAGACTGCATATCTGCATGTCTAAACTCAACCCATGGCGCATTCAAATTGCTTGGGCACTCGGTATGTGTTTAGCGATTCGAATAGATTCAGCATTTCTCCCGCTCATCATCAGGTAATGCAACGGTGTCAGGAGAAATGTCACCCGTCTGGAAGATTCCTCATTTGCAGGCGTTGTCTCGTAGTCGTGTGAGTGCTCGGCTCTCGTGCGCACGATCGACCAAGCACGGAACATCCTCAATGTCAACCTTCAGTCAGTACTTCAGCAGAGATCTTCTTAATGCAAGTCGAGCTGCTCGGGTGCCTGGAATGCGGGTCATCGAGAATGTGGGTCATGAAGAATGTCATGCCTTCCCACCATTCAGTTCCAGTCAGAAGGTAACCCATTCGGATGAAGCCTCCTCGAACATATTTCAACATAGGATTCCCGATGCATAATCGTTGCCGGGATGCCGAGCTTTAGCCGAGCTCTACACCTTGGGAAGGACCAGGACTCGATGTTCAACTCAAAGACATGCAATCGATTATCAGCCGCGATAATAAATAGATGGCAATTCGGCTAGATATCTGAAGAGGACCAGACTCCAAGAAAAGTCTGACGAAACAATCGCTGACGTTGCCATCGCGTATGTAAATTCTCTCGAAGGATCCTCTTAGATCCTATGTGGTTAAAAACTAAATCCGATAAATGGTTCATTTCCAGTAGCAAAACGGAGGTGGACAAAAACCGCTTCATTGCAACGCATATGTGAGCTGCGATATGTAGCATCCAAATATGAACATTTCTTAGTTTACCCCATGCAATATATGATGCTATACATATATAATCAATATAAATCTCCAATGCATTACAATAGTAGGAATTAATAAGTAAATACATATTCTGGCCTCTAAATGGGACAGTAGCAGTTGAGCAACCACACGTGAGTCGCGTTCGCTGAATCATCACGGCTTTCACGCAGCACTGAGAAATTATATTTCTGCACAGTGAAATGTGTCCACAGTGACCCCGAGTTCACATCATGACTTACCATTGGTCTGCAAGTGATGTGCTCGAGGCATTTTTGTCTGTGCCAACATGAAAGACCCTCGCTCACAATGGAGGGAAAATATGTCAGCAGTTACTCGCCCATCATCGATGACTTAAAAGTAGAAAGGCTTTGAAGCCATCGAGTGCCTCTAGTCCCAACTTTTCCATTTTCTGACACGAACGTAACTTCCACTACGATGACGGAGGGTAATTAATTTCTTTTCACGTATTGCATTATTCGCGCTTTTGGCAGTCATGCATGCACGGTGAGCCTTTATATACCATTCAATTGCGATGCATTCTTTGGTCTCTCCTTTAGCTTAATGCCTTGACTATTAGTTGCCATGGTTACCATTAAGGTTAAATTGTGATAACTACACCTGAGTGGGTCCGACGCTTCAAGTGCTTCAAATACAAGTGCTGCAAATACAAGTGTTTCCTGAATGAAACTGTGGGTGTGGAGGTAATAAATAGATCGAAAACTTAAATGTCCCGATCGTCTGTCCCGATTGGGCATTCGAGAGCTTGGAGGGTTAACCGACTGAGGATTTAAATAGGATTGTACCAGGGGCTTTATATAAGTTTTCCTGTCATCACAATCAAGGTGAAACTCTTTCTAGTCTACGACCCGCACGTTATGCTGTTCCAAATCATTTTTAGGTCATTTATATCTTTTTATCGTTTACCAATGAAATTATAATATTAATGGAGAACACAATAGTTCATATTCAGACAATGATGGTATTTGACTTTCTCTGGGACGGGTAATAAACCCATATTGAAGCATTTTAAACGTAGCGGAAGTGAGCGTAATACGGCAGAACTTCCTTTATTTCTCGAGGTAATTTTAATGAACTTGCCACGCGACGGCACGTGACCGTCGGGACTGAGTCGTGTCGTCTTCTATGCAGAGGTGCTCGTGGGCGTATATTGTCAACATCATAAAGAAGATTGAGTGGAAAACGCAGTGTCATAAGAAAAAACCAAAAGAGTGCGAGTGTAATGAAGACTACAAGGAAGAAAAAGGCCGATGCAGTGAGTGGACGAGCTGGAGGATCTCTTTCCTGCCAGATGCCGATGGTGCACCGTTTATTTTAACCATGGTTTATGTTAACCCTAGGATGCATGACAAGGGTATTCGGGACCCTGACCATTTGATGCAAAAATGTTTAATCTGTACAATACTTGATTTATAGGGTCCTTACATGGACATTCCTTTGATAAATTTATATTGTTCTTTTCAAAAGTGAGACTAAGCGTGTTATTTTGGCAGTGGGTCCCATAGACCCGACCTACGTAAATATCTAGATTAATTCACTCATGCGTCTTACGGTTAAATTAGCATATTGCACGTTTTGCAACTTTTTCGAAAACGAGAAAGCCATTTCGAAAGATGCTTGACTCATTAGAACAGAGACGGTTTTGTCTTGATTTACGACTGATGGAACGAAAGTCAAGACTCATTTTAGGAATGATTGATTCCGCTTAATAATCTTCTGTGGAGATTTAGAATGGTCGAAAAAAAAAAAAACATTCTTTAAGACGAATGGGTTACCTTCTGACTGGAACTGAATGGTGGGAAGGCATGACATTCTTCATGACCCACATTCTCGATGACCCGCATTCCAGGCACCCGAGCAGCTCGACTTGCATTAAGAAGATCTCTGCCGTGTCCAGTGTGAGACTTCGAGGCTTGGCAGCGCACTTCTATAGGTTACAGCAATCAGGATCGCAAGGAGAGGATAAAAAGGAATTCGAAACTTTGAGTGACCAAGCTAGTACCCACTCAAGCAATCAATGATGGAGACAGTCAGGAGTATCTTCTCAAGAGGGAAGAGATGAATCAAGAAATCGGGAAGGTCTAACACCGAAGGACATAGGGATGGTGAGGTCGATGCTAATCGATCATAAGAAATTAATGTATGAGTATAAGATGAACTGGAATCACCTCAGAGCTCTTAGCTGGATCCAGTCTCGATGGGGAAGAAGGGGAAGAGTCTCACTCGTCAAGTGCGGGCGATCCTGGGGCACTGGCCTTAATTTCTGGGCAACTGCAAGCTGAATTACCGGGTTAAAATGTAACCATAGCTCTGTCTCTAGTCATCCGGCGTCAGAAAGAAATGGAAAGAGAGGTGACTAAGAACAAAAGACGTCTAGAGGGTTAATAAGGAGGATTTCTAGGCTGGGATGAAGGGTCACAGTTCAGGCGTGACACCTAGGGGGTCATGCGCATATTACGGCCTCCCTAGGACGGCTTGCAGAGAGCTCTTCCCTCATATGTAGGGCAACTCTTCGACCAGGCCACTCACCGCGTGTCGTGCCGGCTGGGCCGAAAACAATACATACAGTATATAAATGTGTACAACTAAAAGAAACCGATTACGAGATTATGAAAATGCATTGCTTTTATGATTAAAAAAAATACACGTTTTGACTTGTGCTTACGGTGCGACGTTTCGCAGTGCCAGAGAATGGTGCAGGGTTGGACGACTCCTGCGATCCAAGCTTGCATAATTGTTATTCGGAACACGCTGAGTGCATCGGCGAGCCCGGTTCTGCAACTTGCAAGTGCACGTTGGACTATGTACGGGATGAAGACCTCTGCAGTGAGTTGGGCCTGGTCGATTTCAAGAAAAAGGCTCAGAACAACTCATATACCTGCCCGTCCTTAAATGCCACATTCTGCTTTTTTCTATATTTTTTAAATGTTAAGTGGAATCCAGGACTGGGCGAACTGACGCTGCCCTCGCAATTTGCACCCCGGATAATTCGGAATGCGCTGGCGATTCCGGTTCGGAAACATGCCGATGCAAGGAGGGTTTCACTGAAGATGATGGCAAATGCCGTGAGTCGTATTTTCTTCCCATGAGATCTTTACTCTGTCATAAAACCGGTCGATCAAAAATTGGTGTTTTGAAAATCTTTGCGTTCCAGGGCTGCTATACCTCGGTGAATTGTGCAACGAGTGGCACGAGTTCGTAGCTCCGAATTCGCATTGCTTCCAAGATGACGGTGGTCTCTCGACCTGTCAGTGCTTGCCGGACTACGTCCAGGAACAGGATCGATGCAGTGAGTTTTCTCAAGCCACAGAGGGAGTGAGACAATTTTACAATTCTGCCTTCTCTTCTTCATCTCTGGCGATCATTTATCGTAACAAGGTAAATTCGAAAAAAAAAAACAAAAGCGAAAACTGCTGCAAATGCAGGCAGATTACGTACTTAGGTGGACAAGGATTTGAATGAAATTCATGTAAGCACGTTGAAAGGAGGAAGGAAGCCCAACAGAAATCGAAGAAGCCACATCGATGCAGCCGTCTAATCCGTATGCTAAGTTTGGTGGAGTGAACAGGATACTATTCACATCGCGCACGAAGTCTGGCAACATCATACTTTTTTCCAACAATTTGTCGGAACTTTCATGCAGGATATTGTTTGTTAAGTACAAGGTGCATGAGTATACATGCAGCAGCAAAGCCGATGTTGGGACGGTGAAAGAGTGGAATGGGTATTGGGTCCTTTTCCTCGATCGGCTTTCGACTCGGGGTTCTATAACTTCCTAATCAGAAGATTAATATATGTTTGAATTATTAACTCGGTAAATTTGAAAGCGAGGGCTCCGGATGTATGGCACATGACATTGAAACAATTTAGACTAGTTTCACGTGCCACTCCCTCCAAACCACGTTGCCATGCGTGGAATCTTTGGCTTTTTTCGTGCGGCAGCAGACTTATTTTTCTCGTGCCTAGTTTGCGAACGATCATTTCCTGTGGAAATGGATTCAGCAAGAACCGATGGTAAGATTGGGAAGGATCTGCAAGGTCTGAGCCTCGTTACTCTTTCGCTCTATTCCAAGAATATTACTAGGAGGCTCTAGAGATAGGTTTCTGTTCAATGCTCAGCTTGAAAGCTCCTCATTTTTACGTTGGCTACAATATACCGGTTTCTCAGTCTTGCCTCCTTTAAGAGTTATGGTCTGACTAAGTAATTGTGCTGTCTTGTGTGAGGGGTTCGTGAAATTTCTTTGACTAAACGTTCCACAAGTAAAGCTCGTCTCAGTATTCCTACGGCACGTTACTGTACTGCAATTCGTCGTCCTGCCAATCACCACTCATTCTAGACAATCTGTGGGCATGAAAAGTTGCCAACAATTTAGACCACGCAACATACGATGATGGCATACCAGATCATCCCAAACTGCAACCTCTGAACGCCACGAGAAAAAATTAGCTTCGCAGTCGTACCAGTACATTAAATTAACGCGGCCAATGAAATATTAACGCCCATTCCGCGGTAAAATGTACATATAACTTCGCCTTTTCAGGACACTTATTTTTTACTCTTTAAAGCCAGAAACTGAGAAAAAATAGTAATTTGGTACTGGCTTTCATCTTATCGCAGACAGCCATTCATTTTATTTCCATTGATTTCTTTCTCGCGTTCATCTTTGACTTTGATCACATGGGAACTAGCGGCCTGCGGCCGCTACGCTGGCCATCTAATAGGTGGAAATTTCATCCTTCTATTATGAGCATAACATCTTGACAATCCTCTGTTCACCTCATTACCCATTAGGAAGTGAACCGCTTCATTACATGTATACACTTTTAGCTTACAGTGTACAGGGAGATTCTGTTCCTAAACACCATCATCATGATATTCCAGCTGATTGCCACAATCGTTCATTGCGAACAGTTTAGCACGTTTTCATGACACTCAAGACGACTTTGCTGATTTTGTCTCCCTAGCACATTCAATACTCTTGCATCACCGATTACCTCATGTGCTATAAGCGTTAGCATATAGTACAGACACCAATGATTCTGAAACAGTACGGACCATTTCCAAGAACTTGTTCGAAGCCTCAAAGGGAATTTAGTACATGTGCGGCACAATGCTAGCGACTAATTCCAGAAAATGCCTCGCCACCACATTACCCTGAGGCTATTGTTGAGGCTAAGTGTTGCTCACTGGTGCTGAAGTGTGAGTTGCAGCAGAAGCATTTTTCCGTTGTAGAGAGAAGGCATTTGTTTCACATCAAAATGTACAGCCTGACAGTGCTCGCTGCGCAAACGACTGTAGTGATTTGAGATGACATGGATATGTCTGACAAAATGTCCCGAATTCCGTGGTGTAATGGTAGCACACCTGACCGGCAAGCAGGAGGACCGGGTTCAATTCCCGGCCGCCCCACGGCTTTCGACACCTGAGTGCTGCGTTCCTTGCATCAAGTTGCTCAGCAGGCTGCACGGCTCTCTTATTCCGGAGTCCAGCATTCGCTGCCTCTTGCTGTTCAGCGGTCTCAGCGGCCCTACGCACATCTGCTTGCTGTTCATCACTGATTCTAGCCATTACGGCTAGCACCGATTTAGGCACTTCGCACCGCAACTGCAGTGGCAAACGTTGTTTCCGCGCCAGCACCAACCGTTTTTTACCAGCATCAACTGCCTCATCGCTGTCATGTGTGACCTTCAACAATTCTTCTTCGCGTTCAACCTCACCTCACAAAAACTGCCACCATTTTGATGGGAGGTGCACCTGGTTTGCGCGACATATGAAGCAGAGCCTTTTTAGACTATTATTTTGACTTCATCAATCATGAGAACTCAAATAAATCGGCGATGACATGAAACGCAAGCAGAAAACTATTGCATGGAAGTGATGGCGCGAACTGCCACATCTAACCTAACGGAAAAAAATAAATACAGAAAAAAAAAACACCTTAGCACAGAATGTAGTCACATGACCTTGCAATCAATCAGTGGAAACGTGACACGCATTCAGTTAGTGGCACCCTTTGCATGACACGGTTAAAATATGAAGCCTATGGAAATAATAGGATGAGCCAAAGCCTATGGCTCACACTGATATAGCCCGATGGACCTGGCGCTAAGTGCGTTGGATGGCCAAGCCTTTGGCCTAGTATAGCATTGCCCCATGGACCTGGCCCATGACCAAAGATGGCATAGCCTAATTGACCTGGCGCTTTGAGTGGTATGGCAGCGTATGGCCTAAAATGATCTAGTCTCGTAGGCCTCGCGCGTTGCGGTGATAGCCACCACCAGAACTTCTTCCCAGCACATTTAATACTCTTGCATCATCGATTAACTCATGGGTTATTAGTATTAGCTTGCGGGACAAGTATCACTGATTCTGAAACAGTACGTGCCATTTCCTAGAACTTGTTCGACTTTAACACAGAGGAAATTTAGCACATGTGCAGCAGAATACTAACAAATAATTTCTCCCCTCCACATTAGCACCAGTGAACAACAGTGTGAGCGTTACGTGTGAGTTGCAGCAGAAGCACTTTTCCATTGTGGCTGCAATGTGAAACTAATCTCCCCTCCCTACAGCAAATGTACAGCCTGACAGTGCTCGCTGCGCAAACGACTGTAGTGATTCGAGATTACATGGAGAGGCCCGAATTCTGTGGTGTAAGGGTAACACACTTAACCGGCAAGCAAGAGGTCCGGGTTAAATTCCCGGCCGCCCCACGGCTTTCGATACCTGAGTGCTGCGTTCCTTGCATCAAGTTGCCCATCAGGCTGCATGGCTCTCCTATTCCTGAGCTCAGCATTCGTTGCCTCTTGCTGTTCAGCCTAACGCTCCCAACGTGCAACGTTCATCAGTCATTCTAGCCATTATGGCTAGCACCTCCTAAAGCACTGATTTAGGCACTTCGCACCGCAACTGCAGTGGCAAACGTTGTTTCCGCGCCAGCACAAATCGCTTATTATCTGCAGTGACTGCCACATCGCTGTCGTGTGGGACCCCTTTCAACNCACCGCAACTGCAGTGGCAAACGTTGTTTCCGCGCCAGCACAAATCGCTTATTATCTGCAGTGACTGCCACATCGCTGTCGTGTGGGACCCCTTTCAACATTTTCTTTTCACGTTCAACCTCACCTCGCAAAAATCGCCACAATTTTGATGGGGGGGAGCGGGCCGTTTGCGCGACATATGAAACAAAGAACTTACGTTATTATTTGATTTCACCAATTATGAGAACTCGAATAAATCGGCCATGACATGAAACGCAAACAGAAAACTATTGCATGGAAGTGATGTCCCGAACCGCCATGCCTGACCAAATGGAAGAAATAAAGAAAACAACGTTGATCGACACAGTTAAGTATGAAACCTAGGGCTTAGACTAATATAGCTCAATGGGCCTGGCGCTAAAAGCGTTGGATAGCCAAGCCTATGGCCTAGAACAGGGGTGTCAAACTCAAATCGGTCGGCGGGCCGCATTCCTTACCCTGCAGATGCCTGCGGGCCGCACCCATAAAATTTCACTTAAA